GTGAAAAGAAGCTCCAAACACCGGAACAAAGACTTGTAGGCCTGCAATTCATGAATTAGCTGAGCACCCATTGATAGCTCCTCCTAACTATCCAGCCAAAGATGAACAACTGACTGGCAATAGGTCTCAATCACCACTCTATGATAGTCTCTTTCTTGGGTCAACAACATGGCATCTTCACATGCCAGGAGCTCCAATGGTAAATAGACCTATTATGTTATCATGCCTTTTGCAGGCGGCTTCTTGAAATCTTCCATCATGGTCACACACAATCAGTCCGCACCAGAAAATCAAGAGCACCATCACTGTTTATTTTCATCATGCTTTCGATGGACACCACTTCGCTTGCTCTTCACTGGCAACACTCTTGCCAGGGAATTAGAAAGCGCGCACACTCTTATGAAAGCTCCATGAAATGCACTGTTTGCACTGAGTTGCCTCATGTGTACTTATTCCGACTGCTCCATATTGCCCACAGGACGGAAACCAAAATAGGAGCATCTTTCTTACTAACAATAGCATGCTCAGTACATCAGCCAACCATGTCATTGGACATAGCCTGCGAAATTTAAGATATAAAATGTCAACGGTTGTATTACAGAATAGCTTTGCATGATGGAAACTAACCACAACAAGGTACATATTATTCTATTCATGAGCAGACATAGGGCATATACTAAGTTCTTGATGTGTCTCATTTTCAGTTCACTGAAACTTGGTAAAATATTTTGTAACAACGAAACTTGGTAAAATATTTTGTAACACCGGCCACTCAACGGTACATTCCACTTATTCTCTGCACCTGAAAGTACCCTCTCCTGCATCTCACCTTCTACCTTTCTCTGTATTAGGGCTCAGTATATGCAGAGCGAACTGTGAAATATCCCGAATGGTTCCATGCCTAATCTTCCATGCCCAAGACCAGAAGCCATCTGCATAATTATGGGGTCTTGGCATTCAGAAGAATGTGTACACATCTGTCGGCATGAACACCTCCTTAATTAAATCCTTGTTCCATTGCCCCAAATCAGCATCAATTAAACTTGAAACCAACTGTACCCGTGTAGCTGATATTCTCCCCCTCGGTTGCATTGAATTTTGCTTTAGAAATCCATTTGGTTTGCTATATTGAGTTCGACCATTTCCAACCCTACAAATCAAACCCAACTTTAGCAAACATCTCTTCCATTCACAATAGCACACCAAGTTTGCGATGCACTTCGAGGACAGGTTGCCAATTTCAGACTTTTTTGCTGCACGAGAACAATTTACTTTCACACCACCCCTGTATTTTAGATTTAGCTCAAATAACCAATCTACTATGAAAGAACCTCCCACTCTATTTGCAATTCAATCCTCACCTCAATTGAATTTGATATGTACTGTTGAGGCTGAAAAACACCGAACTCTTCATTTTAGTACCACTCTGGCCAGAGCAAGGCTGTAAGCAGATGGAATTCAATCTATGCGCACTCCACCTATCAGCTTTCACAAAAGATTTGGCAATCGTCAGCAAATAAAAGCAAGAAATCATGGTGCTCTTAGACTCACACCAATGCCACCATCAACCGAACCAGCATTGTAACTTTTTAAGATCGGTATTAGCATTGAAAAGAGATCATCAAAAGAGGGTGATAGATATGTTAACAATCTCCAATTCCAATGCTATATTGTTACAATTGCTTGGGAAAGTGTGCCTTTACCACCACTGTATATGGTACGACACTAAATTTTCAAATGTGAATGTGAACTCAGTGAGAATACACTACCACTCAATAGTACGTCTGACTGTGTTAGGATTATTTACCTGATATGCGCCACTAAACTCCGCTGGGTTCCACACGAACCTACAGAATTAGCCATTTTAATCAGTATGTTGGAACAAATTCACAAAAATTACAGTCAGTATATATCACTGAAAGACTTCTATAGATTTTCCAAAAATTCAATTGAGATATCACATCATGTTTGGAAGTACATGTTAATTTTACTGCATTTAAAAACTTTACAATTTTTGTTTACCTTATAATCTTATATGGAGGTAGCGGACCTAACCTTCTGCAGCTCCTAGAATATACACACATGGACTAATCGAAACACACACACGTCTAAGTCTTCTTCGATCCGCAACACCCAGGCAAGATCTCTTCCCGAGAAACGATAACCTATAAAATGTATAATCACCAAAGCCAGAGAGTCTAATCTCCAGTAGTTCCAGAGTTTACTCAAACAAGAGATATTAACGGTTTTTCATACACACATATAGTCGTAAGTTCAGTTTTGGTGGCCTAATCTTGGAGCATTTAACTGTGTGATTGCATGCTAACTCAAAAGATACTATCAGAAAAGGCAATCATAATATGTTTTCTTTTCAATCAGGAAAGAGAAGGCTGGGATCATGAATTCGTAAATGGAAGAACCTCCATTGCACACTCTCTGTAAATCCTAGTGTGACTGAGCAGATCAAAATTAGAGATTATTCAGAATGGCTGACACATGCCAAGTAATTATGCATTACAGCCTTAGTTCCATAGTTACAAGAAAAAGGCGCAAGGATATCTTGTCGAGCAACCGAACGCCATGGGTAAAATGCACTATCCCGCAATTAACACTGGAAAGCGCGATAACAAATAGCAATTAAACACATGGACATTCTTCGAGTTGTATTCTCTTCTCAACCTTGCAAATTTAAATGGTATCTAGGTTATTATATCTCCTACTCCCTCCGTTCCGAATTACTTGTCTTAGATTTGTCTAGATTCGGAGGTATCTAGCACTAAAATGAGTCTAGATACATCCATATCTAGACAAATCCAAGACAAGCAATTCAGAACGAAGGGAATAGATGCAAGTCTTTACAATATCCTCAAACTTGTTTTTTAACTGAAAAAAACATTGACGAAGCACCTCTAGAAAACATCTGACTGACATGTGCTTACAAAAATTAAAGCTTGAGATGGAGCAGAATAGAAGCAACCCATTTCCTATATGAAGAGCATATGTGATTATTGGCCCTCAGGCCCAAATATATTTTTATTTATTGCGGGGGAGGCTCAAAATAACTGGTTGATTTGCCAAGTGCACATGAACTAACTAAATTACAATTATTTGTCTAACAGAACACATCATAAATTCAGGAAGTTGAAACCATTCTAATAGGCTTGGATTTAAGCCATCTACCTGCAAGGATCACCAGATTCCGTGCTTATTAAGAGTAGCATTGCAGAGATCATTAGATCTCATATCAGAAAGATGATCGTCATGCTATAATAAGGTACACTAAAAAGGATGCTTCTTCAGACCACTGTCAAAAAGCAACTGAAATCAAGTGCAGATAAATACATCAATTGGATTGGCGGCCACTTACTTCCAAGATGTACGTACGCTGCCCCAGTGGAGAAGCACAACGCGACTGTAAGGTACTTGTGCCCAGCAGCGAGACTCTCCGGCGGTCGGGACTGGTAAGCTGCAGAGGAACGATAGGCGGAGGCGCGCGACGACGGGGAGAGGACGGTGGCGTGGCCGAGGATCTAGTCGTCTTCTTCGATGAGAATACGCGAGCGGACGGGTGGGGCGCACGACGATGGGGTGAGTCGGCGGCGGCATCCGAACTGCGATGTCCCCAGCGCCAGCGGCGTGCGCTCATCGGCATCCGCGGCGGCTGCGTTGGTAAGAAGTGCTCGTTGTGAGCAGCGAGGACAGCAGGCGGCGGGCGAGGCTGAGTGTGCGATCACGGGAGCCGATTAGAGAGGAAGAAAGCAAAATGAGAGAAAATTACGGAGGGGATCAAGGTGATGCAGGGCTGGAGTTATTTTCTCCTTTTCCCTCGTGGGTGGGTGGGTGGATGGATTGATTGTGCGTGGGGCAGAACATTTCGTCTGCTCGGCAGGTAAGTGCTACGTACACGCGTGGCATCCGGTTAGATTAATCCGAGCCATTAGAGCTAACTAAGTGGGGTAATCTGGCGGTACTAATCAGACTGGGTACACTTGACGGGTGGTTTTTAAAAAGAAAATGTTTGCTCTTTTAATAGTAGTATAGAAGCCATTAGAGCTAACTAAATGGGGTAATCTGGCGGTAGTAATCAGACTGGGTACACTTGACGGGTGGTTTTAAGAAAGAAAATGTTTGCTCTTTTAATAGTAGTATAGATTATTCTCTGGCACTAGATGACTTGAACATATTTGATATTTAATAAAATTGATGTATGCATCTTGCGATGCAAAGGATGGGGTAGTCCCCTTTTAGAAAAAAATCTAGCATATAACATTAGAGCAACTCCAACAGTTTCTCTAAAAAAACTTCCCTGGAGCTACTTATGTTAGATCCCATAAAACTTCTTCCCCAAATCTAGTGTAGTATTTTCATTAAAAAAAACTAAATAACGGCCTTGGGCCCACCAGTCAGTGAGATGCTTGACGGCCTTGGTATGGCGACAGCAGCGGGTGGTAGCGACAAGATGGCGGCGGCGCATCCTTAAACTAGAGGGAAGTTGGGGCCAAGTTTACATTATTTTGTAAATTTATTTCAGGTTTACGGATATGTTGGCAACAGTTTTCACCCAAACTTCTCCACCTTTTTACGGATACAAGATCTTTTTTTTTGCGAGAATACGGATACAAGATCTGTTATCCGCTGCAAGTCGCACTTGAAGAATGATTAATGTGTCCTGGATAGACTAGCTTGCGAAAATCGATGAACGGTTTTTTTTCCACATATATAGTAATACATATCTTATTCATATCATAAAGATCATAATACAAGCCATATACACAGCGACCTGACAAGACTGCAAGGTAAAAAGGAAGCCAAATGCTAGACTTTGCACAAAATACAAGAACATTACAATCAAAGTATATATACGTACGGTTCATGCACCATGACCGCACGCTTGGTAAATGAAATACCAAAACAAACGAGATATTTATTGTGATTGTTGACGATTTTCGTGACAAAACACCCGTAAAGAAATGAGTACCCCTGTACGTTTTATCGCCGATTTACACTGCAATTATGGGATCGCTCTCAGCTGCCATGTTGACGTTGGCATGAGGGACGTTGATTGGGTAGCGATGTATGCATCCCGCCCACGCCTTGTCCAGCTGGGTTGCCGGGCCGATGCACTCCCAGACGGCGCTGTTGCACTTGACCCCAGCTCCGAGGCCAACCATCCACACACGGTCGCCCTTCCGCACCCGGCCATTGGCCTCGAGGTACGCCATCTCGTACCACACCGAGCTGCTCGACGTGTTGCCGAACCGGTGAAGCGCCATGCGAGACGGCTCCACGTGCTCCTCCGACAGCCCGAGGCTAGACTGGACCTCGTCGACGACCGCACGCCCCCCTGCATGGATGCACACGTGATGGAACGCCTTGCACAAGTCGGGGACGTAAGGCTTCACCTTCACGCCGCCTCGCCGGCCCAGCTTGAGCAGCAGTTTGTTGGCGACGAAGCGCAGCTGCTCGAAGAAGGGGAGCACCAGCGGGCCAAGGCCTGTGATGTTGGCCTCGAGCGCGGCACCGGCGACGCACATGAGGTCCCTGGAAAGTTTGACTCCCAAGTTGCCTTCGTCGTCCTCCTCCTGGAAGATGCACCGGTAGGAGCTGTCCTGCTCGCCGCCGGTGATCGTCCGCACGAGGTGGGCGAGTCGAAACCGCGCCCTGTCCTTGGACGTGGACAGCAGCACGGCGGCGCCGCCCACCCGAAAGAGCATGTTGGACAGCAGCATGGAGCGCTCCCTGCCGAGGTACAGGTTGGGCGTGATGGTCTCCGTGGACACGACCAGAGCGTGAGCAGCAGCAACACCGTGGGGCGCTGCACGAAGTAGGCCGGCAGCGAGCCCCACCGAGATCACCCCCGCGCTACAGCCCATCCCAGACAGATTTACACAGCGGACATCGCTGCGGAGTTTGTATCTGTTGACGATCATGTCGCTGAGGGACGGCACGGGGGCGAAGACGCTGCAGTTGATGACGACAATGCCGACGGCATCAGGGGTGACGCCTGCCTTGGCGAACAGGTCGTCGATGGCCGAGAAGATGACCAGCTCCGCCTCGGCTCGGGCAACGACCAAGTTGTTGTCTGGCGGGATGTAGTGGTCGCCGGGGGGCAGGCTGGTCTCATCGCCGAGACCGCTGCTTCCGAGCACCCGCATGGCGAAGCCGACTGTGCGATCGTCCGCGAACGCGGGTACGAGGTGAGCGTACTCGATGAGTGTGGAGTTAGGGAAACGCCAGGTGGGACTGGGAAGGAAGCAAGCATAATCGACAAGGTACACGGCGCGTGGGCGGTTCACGACGGCTGCCACCATGGCCAGGAGGGCCAGAGAGAGCAGGAGGAGGTGGATGGGTGAGAAAGAGTAGCCGACCAGCCGTGTAGCTTTGAGGAAGATGCTTCGTGGAAGGACCATGCCGGCAACAATGGGGAACAGCTGCTTGCTAAGAGGTGATAAACCCATGGCCATGGCCATTGTTTCCGCAACCGATCGAGCGTGCTCGGAGGTGAGTATACACGGGAACAAGGGGTGGGTTTTAAAGGCGCAGCGAGTGCAACCGTCATACTCAGGCGAGTACTATCCTACTACTCCCTCCTTCCATCTATATAGAGCGTAATACGTTTTCTTAGACTATCTTTGACTATTGATAAGATTAATAGTATATGAGATGTATAATGCGAAAATTATATCATTGAATAGTTGTCAACCTAGGAGCCTTCCAGAGAGCCTTGGCTCAGTGGTTGGGCATGCGGTTGTGTATGATGAAACCACTCATCAAAAAATATGTTGATACTCATTTAAAAAATTATGAGGACCATATTTATCTTGGTACTCATACTAAAATAGCCGTATGCATCTAGTTGGTGCAGAGGTCGGGGAAGTGAAATTCCCCCCATTTAAAAGACACGCACAACGTCGAGGAGACCTCACAGAAGAAAGGCGAAGGCAGGACTAGGGGGAACCCTAGCGCTGCCAAGCCCTCGGCTCCCTCTCCCACCTCTCCGGCCCGCCACCACCGAGCAAAGCCCGGTTGCCGTCGGCGGCGGCGGGATCTCTCCTCCCCGCAGCGGTCGGACTTGGCGTGGGTGGCGTTCGGCGGCGGTTGGCGACGGGGCGCGCCGGCGAAGTCTCAGGGGGCGATGGCAGGAGCTGCTTCCCCCGGTGCTCGCGTGGGGGGGCCGTTCAGGGCGCTCCTATGGTGGCCGTGGTCGATCTGTTTCAGATCTGACTGTCGGTGCCTCGGGCGGTGCGGGGATCTCGGGGCGGCGGCCTCGGTCGGTGGCGCGCAGTGCGGCCTGCCTGGCGGGCGGCACCGGCGAGTGCAGATGGGGGGCCTTCCACGGCTGTGTGGGCGGCATGGAGGCGGCGGCGCTACATCGGTTCCTCGATGGCCGACCGGAGTTCCATGGGAGGCGTCGTCTCCGACTCGATCTACTCCGGTTCGTGCTGGCTACGGTAGCGACTACGGTCGATGCCAATACTGCCTGGATGTATCTGGCGGGTGGGCATGGATCCGGGGGAAACTCCAGGCCGGCTTGGCGGCCGCACCAAAGTCGACGCCCCCGGCGCCGATTCCCTTCCTGGAGGCTTCGGTATGGATCATACGCCCCCCACCTCTGCCATGAGCACAGGCGAAAGCCTATGTTCCTCTGTTTGGGCGACGATGAAACTTTGGTGTTGTGTTCCTTCCTGAAGGCATCGGCCGAGGACTGCTCGGGGTGGTGGAGTTGCTGGTAGTTCGGAGTCGACGCGAGATGGCATGTAAGTGGAGCGGTGTGGCATCAACAGTATCATCGACGGTGGGTCTCGGCGGCATGACACAGTGGAGACTCGGCGTCCGATGTGCAGAGATGGACTCACGCAGGAGGAAGAAACTGTCTGGCATCGTGGTGGCGTCGACGGTAGCTAGACCGTGCAAGTTAGATGCAGCAGTACAGCTCTTAAGATGGATTGGTGGCAAGTGGCTGCGGCGGCCTCACACCCGGCAGGCGTCCTGGTTGAGGAGCACGCCGGACTGGTGGGTGCCCATACTCGGCAGGCGTCCTGATTGGGACCTCAGGTCTTAGATGTTAGGTCTGGCTGTAATGTCTGTTTGATATTAGGCCCAGGCTATCAGCACCGCTTCATCAATTGGATAGGTGTACCAACAGTTGTTGCTTAGACGATAGCTTTAGTCTTATTGTTGTATGATTTTGTAAGGTCTTGTGAGAATAATTAGTAAAGTGGCCGTATGCATCGCCATGCAAAGGCCGGGGTCATCCTCCTTTTCTAAAAAAAGGCGCCTTCTAGAGTCCAAAGCCTTTTTCCACGATGTACTACAATTTTTTTTAGGAAGACGTACTGCAAAGTTGTTAACAGATACAAGTTGCTTTTCAAAATCAAGACAGACGACTAGTACTAGCTGCGTGTTTAGATGTCCTAGCAACAACGGAAACTGCAATGTTAAAAAAAAACGGAAACTGTAGAGAACAAGCTTTCTCCCATTAGGTTCAGGCCAAAGTCGTTTGGCGGCACCGACGACAGTGATTTTGTGATGTGTATGGTAGTGCAGTTTGTGTTATGTGGTTTGCGATGCTGAAACTATGACCTGTGATATTGAAAATCCTGATATGTGGTAATTAAAATTGTCTTTGCGACAACGAAACCATGGATTGTGTCATTCATTTTTGGGATCAGTGATGTATGGTATTGAGATTGTAATTTGTGATGGTTCGTATTGTGATCTCTGGTATTGAAATTGAAATTTACGATATTGAAATTGATGTTCTGTATTATTAAAATTTATGATTTGTGACATTCATATCGAAGAAATCTCCGGTTTCATCATTTGCGATATCTAGAGGGGGCGGCTAGGGGCAGCTGACTGATTTTGTAATTTGGGTCTGTCATTTCTTTTTACAACCGGCTAAAGAATGGTGGGTTAAGTTCGTCACGAGGGACACCACGCAGTACCTGTACAGTACTTGAAGGTCCCGGTTAATACAGCTAGGCATTGTGAAGGACTGATGTTGATGCATGCATATGCACCCAGACGGCCGGTCAAGCATGTACATACTGTACCCTACTCTCTCTGTGGTACTACATAATTACTAGTATCTCTGTAAACTAATGTAAAACCACTGTAATGTAAAAGTTCGTATATTAGTTTATTCATAAATCCTTTATTCAGTATTTAGTATTTAGGCCAAAGAAAGATAACTGCCCCCGTCTGGACGGGCGACACGGGTGACGATCTCTTTGTCCTCTCAGCGGGCTTCTCATCTCCGATCTTCTCCCCTGCCACCGCCGGAGGATGCCGGTGGGAGAATTCTGCGTGGCTGACGGTGGTTGTGGGCCTTTGGAATCAATCTAGCCGGCGGCACCGTTGGGGTGCATCGATGGCTATCAGACATAGCATCGGGTGGCGATCACACATAGCATCGGGTCATGGAAGCTGCTGGAATGCGGCCTTGGTGTCATCGGCGTTGGCTGACGTGGCGAGGCTTCATGCATAGCAGCGGCGGCCATGCACACCCGTTTTTAGATATAAGTCTTTTTAAAGATTTTACTACAAACTACATACGGATGTATATAGACACATTTTAAAATGTGGATTCACTCATTTTGTTTCGTATGTAGTTATTAGTAAAATCTCTAGAAAGACTTATATTTAGTAACGGAGGAAGTAGATGCTAGAAAGTGGTCGTCGGACTTGGCCGCTGCGGCGATCTGCGGAGCTTTTGAGTAGTCGGTGGCTCGATCTAGCCAAATCAATCATGCATAGAACCACGTCCATCATTGGCTTCTCAGACGAGGAGGTCTCGCAGCTGCCATAATGCTTCTTATTTGGAGCTTTGGTTGCTGGCATTAAACTGTTTTTTTTTAGAGTACGTCTAGACGTATCATAATTTTATAGAAGGCATAATTGTAAGTTAAGAAGACTACCACTTGTTGTGAACAACGAGGGTAGCTCGAACATCACAAATAGGCAAGTTCAGGGACATCCACCAACGACTACACAACACTACAAAGCACAAGCGCTATGTATAACAACACCGCGTCTTGACCCACACTAGCACCTCCGAAGACCAACTGCTCCCACTGAACTTCGCTTGTCTATGCACCATCCACCCTAAATGCCGAAGGGAGGTGGCAGGTAAATGGCAAGACTTGCTCCGATCCGAGGAAGACACCGTCTTGGATGCACCGGTGGTGTTATTATGGCCATATCGAGCCACCGACTCATGTTGCCTATGCACTAACAGATATGCGGATCTTCTTTTCACACGTCAGCATAGGTCCGCTCATGCTATCATGGTTTTTTATTGCGTGCCGATGTTCATGTCAAGACTATGCATGTGAGACGATGACATACATTCTACGGACGGCGGCTTGACGCAGAGGATATGGTTGTGTAGCGATGGCGGAGGAGCTCAACGCATGTAGCTGCTAGGGTCATGAAGAAGTGGAGGCGGAAACACATGATTGACTTGGATTTGGTGGTGTTTCTCGAGTACTCGGTCTTGAGCTCCGGGGTAAAAACCATATGTCTGACCTGAGTTGGTTGTACCTAGCAATGGCGGTGTCTTTGCGTCGTTACATTGGTGGAGGCATTGCTCGGATATGCCCAGACTTCTCTTCATGGTGAAAACCTAGAATCCGACCTTTGGTGGTTGGATCCAGTGATGGCAGCACTTGAGCGTCGTTCTCTTCCTGAAGGCGTTGCTATTGAAGAACCTCGTTGTCGTTGTGGTGTCAAAAGATGGTTGCTGTGCATATGGTCGTTGTTGTAGTTTTGTTGATTGCTGTTTTGATCGTTTCAAATTGTTTTCTCGCTTAGACGTAGCTTTGATCTTGTATGACTTTACTATTTGTCGGCATGTTATTTTTTGTGTATGCGTTTATGTTAGTTGTGTGCATCCTATCTAAGTAAAGGCCGGGAGTGTTCTTTTTACATTTGTATCCACTTTGATGCTTCATATTGAGTGAATAAATTTCACTCTTTGTAAAAAAAAAGTAAATTAGTTTATAGAGGGAGTACTACTGAATTAGCTAAACTGTACTTATTAGTTACCTCTCTCACTCTCCAGTGCATTGTGTATGCACATGTACTGAACTCATTGTGAATAGGACACATGGATTTCAGTTCTTTTAACACGTACAGTATAATTGTAGATGCTCACATATACGCATATAGGGGCTGTTTAGTTGCCTTTCACAAAAAGCTGTCTAATTCAGGCACAATGCTGAGGCATTGAATTTTGAAGGTCTGAGGTCAGGATTGCTGCCTGAGGGAGCAGCTACTTACTAGGACTCCATCCAAACAACCCCATATATGCCCCTGCCTTGTGGAGCGTGTGAGCCTCAGTTTGCATTGATTCTTGCGCCAAAAATTCAAATATATTTCAAAAAAATCTCTATCAAATTTTATTGCGTTTGGACTTCGTTTGATATGGATTTTCTGTGAAACAAAAACATATAAAAAAATAGGAACT